CCTGGAATTCATTTACCTGAAAACTTTTGCATTTCTTTTTTATAGTCTATTATAGCTAATTTACCTTCAGCGGATAAATGACCTTTATTTTTAGTTAATAACACTGCTTTTTTAAATAATACAAAATGGTGATATTTTGAACTATTTAGATTTACATAATCAAATATAGGAATTATAACATATAATAATGAATTTATATCATTTACAAAATAATTCACTTTGTCTTTAGATTTGGTAATATGACCACATTTAAGGGTATTTTTAATATATTCTATTCTAAGACCTCTATTTCATCTTTATGAAGACCAATTTGAAATGTAAATTGGGCATATTTATATGTGGTATTTTCCAAAGCTGTTAATCTAATATGGAAATTACCCTCTCCATCTGTAAATCCCGCAAATCATTCTAAAAATCTTCGATCTAAATAATAAGAATTAACTTCAGATGTAAAAGTAGGCAAAGTAATATTTAATTTGTTGTTTATATCAGTGTTACTAACTAAATTACTATAATTTTTATTATTTATTTTTTTAATATTATATAAATTTTTATTAGGGCTGCTACTCAACCCGTGGAACCCAGTTCCAAAGAAAAAACATGTACCGAAAGCACCGTCACTTATAGTAAAAGATGACACATTGTATTCAATACCTTGAACAAATTTGTTATTTTAAAGTTTATAACTTTAATTCAATAATTTTCATTATTGTTCAGACTATGTCATGTATACAATAATATTGCTATGTGTATACTAAAGATTTTTAAATAAGTAGAACTAGTATCAACGAACAACTATTACAAAATCTACTATTCTAATTACTAGTCGTTGAACCTTCTTATTAAAAGTCTATCTGTAAAGATTTAATAAGATTGGCTGCATATTGTCTTGTCATTATATTAATTGGCAATTAATGCTTCCAAGATTTTCATGCAATTTACTTTATTTATTTGCCTAACTCACTGCATAAACCTTAAGCTTACTTAATAATTTAATGCATGAATTTAAGCAAAGGCCTAAACGCATACTTCTTTTTGCTGGCTTAGTTAAATGAAATAAGAGCTTTGCTGCCTGACTTCGTAGGAGCAGCCTTCATGAATAGTTATTTATTCTCTCTATGGTTGTTCATCCCAGATTTTAAAGAATTTATTCTTTTTAAACCTTCAGGAGTAAAATGACCTTTAGTCTCCATAATATTAACTACTTCGGAGAAATCACAGAAATCTCAATATTTTACTCCTTGTAGTGGATGATTTAGGAATAAAGGAATGATTTTATCTTTAATGTCGTTGAATTTAGATACAGCAAAATTCACTCCATCAGGTCTAGCTGAAGCTCTTTCAATTCTACCACAACCTAAGTATTCAATGAATTTAGTTAATAAACCTTCGTCTCTCACGTGTTGAGACACAGAGAAAACCAAGCTAACACTATACCCAGATGAATATTTACTGTTTTGGATAGATTTCACATAAAAATAACCTTCTCCGTCTACAAAACCCGCGAATCAGTTAGAATCAGGGATTCCATCAAAACTAACTATTGGACGAGGAGCTGGAGTAATATTAGGAAAGTTGATTTTTAATGTGTCGGTCAAACCATTATTCATGGACGCTCTAATACTTACAATATTTTTTATTCCTTCGATGCTGGAACGTGCTTTACCATTAAGTAATAAATCCACACCTTCTTTAAATAGAAGGAAGTCTGCTCTTTTTTGAGTATTAAGAGGGTATCTTTCAAAGTGCGGAATAATTACATCTGCAATAGTACGTGCAGACTGTACACTGTAAAAAGCTGTGTTTCTAGTACCACGTTCGCTCACTATTCCTACACCGAAGAAAGAATGTATTTTCCGCAAAAGTATCACATCTCGGACATGAAGTTCTATTTTAAACTCGGGAATCACATTTCAACCTGACCGTGTAGCACTACCTTTAGATATTTTAAGAACAAAGGTTGATTCTGCATCAGCAAACCCTGATACTCAGAAAGGTGAAAGCCCTGAATCCTTAAGATTTGAACCCTCTGTTCTCGTTGTATAAAATCTATTGGAGTTACACATCAGTGAATGGTTATTAAAAGACCCTATTGAGCTAGAACAGAAACCATAAAAGTTTTTTCTAGTTACCCTACAAAGATGATGAAATATTAAAGCTAGAATAACTATTATTGTAGTCCCGGAGGGACGGCTTCGCCAGCAAGCTCCTCTTTATGAAACCAGCAATGCCAAAAAGTATACGTGGGTGGTGGGCTAAGCCTGTAAAAATTATTGCTAATAATACTGTAGCAACTGATCCATATAAAGCACCTTTTCTACCTCCTTGAATTAAACTGTGATGTGCGTAAGTTATAGTTGCACCACTTGATAGTAAAATTACTGTGTTTAATAAAGGTAATTCAAAAGGGTTCACTGGTTCTATTCCAATTGGTGGTCATTGAGCTCCTAATTCAACAGTTGGAGTTAAAGCTGAATGGAAGAATGCTCAAAAAATAGCTAGAAAGAACAGAGCTTCTGATACTATAAATAGAATAACTCCTAAATTTAATCCTTTCTGCACTGCACGTTTTCATAACCTTTACCACTGTTATTATTACGGCGTCCCTACCTCAACTAACGAGGACTAACATAGAGGAAAGCTGGTTATATACAATTAAGGTAGATTTACTAAGGAACCATTTTATCAACATTAATAGCGTAACCCGAATATAAATATATAATTTGTATATGAAGATTAACATTCACATCATAAATAAATATATAAATATTGATATGGCAACCCAATCCTAGAAACATTTTCTCGAATCGAGCTGTTACCTCCATTCGATTCTACCACCCGTCTCCGGGCTGCTAGAGTACACCTTAACCTACCCGACCTGGTAGGGATCAATCCGGTACCTGATTGACTCTTCGCCGCGTGCGAAGATCTGCCGTCTACTCGTTGCTCTTTTCCCATAATAATAATTATTTATCACGAGGTTAGATCCGCGATAATCCTTTCCTTTCGTCACCATAAACCTTTTTACCTTACCTTAGATGATTAGTCTAAGCCACCTCTATTACATATCGCACTTTTCAGCGGAGGCTTGGTAGTTTTGGCTTCGGACTTCCCCGGAGTTTGACAGAAATTATACGCCAAATCTCTTAGATTGCTTACACCTAGATTGTTAGCGTGTGATCACCTAAAAATGTCTAAAGTTATTAATCAATATATCACTATATTGTTTGGGACTATATCTTAACTAATGGGTTATATATATAACGCATTAATCTTTCACATGTAGTCTCTGAGGATCCTACTAGGATAATTATGCGTCCGTTGGTTTCCTGCTGATTGTCTTATTATTATAAGAGTTTCCAGCAAATAGTTAAATTTAAAGAGAGCACTTATAAATAGGTGATATAAGTACAAGAGAAAAGCTGTCCTTATTACTAAGTTTGTGAAGTACATAAACTAAGCTATTAAAGATTTAATTTTTAGTCTTCCTTCCGGAGAAAGATGCTCTTTGGCAATCATCATATCATACACAATTCTTCATTTCTTATAATCATTAAGCTTGTCTCCTATTAAAGGATATTTGTCAAAATAGTTAACTAGCGGTTCTAATTTACCTATAGCTGACACAGTTAGAGATAATACTTCTGTATTTGTTTTATTACTACTATACGTTTTTACAGGACAATCTAAAAATATTGCTAACTTTTCCATAAAAGGTAACATTGATAAAGATGTAGGTTTATCATATGCACGTTGATCTAATCTATATTTAAGAGTAACGTGCTCACTATGAGCTCTTTTCATTATACCTGATTTAGATTTACTTTCAACATATTTTATTCCAAAATGACCATCGGATTCTGTAAACCCGGTTAGTCAACTATTATCAAAAAAATCCGATGTGTCTAATAGACTTTCAGGTATACTTAAAGAACACTTATCATTGATTATTGTAATTAAATTATTAAATGTTTGGTTTTTAGGTGTTCTAAACTTACCATGCATTAAATTTATTAAAATTTGAATACCTTTTAAATCCCCTATAATATAACGAAGTGTATTTGTTCCTGTAATTTGGAAATGCCCCTTGTTATCTAATTCAGACTGAATAAAAGCGTATAGACCTAAATTATTAATATGAGATGTAAATACTATTCTAGGATTTAAAACTCTAGTTAATTTAGAATTTTTAAATAAAGCTGGAATAGATATATGACCATCTCCTTCAAGTAAACCTGCTAAATAATACCCGAAGTTATCTGAATTGTTCACATAAAGACTATAAGAATTAGAATTTAATTTATGAGTACTTAATGCTTGCTTTACATTTTCATCTGTAATAGCTCTAGCTGTAGTTAAATTGTATAAAAATCTTAAAAAGGCACAGACGCTTCTTTGTATCGGTGCGGTACTCTCTGATATGATATCTCTAAATCAAAATGACATAGCTGATACTAATAATATTAAAGCTATGTAAAAGAAATAATAACTATTATTAAAATTATGCATAGATAATGCAGCACTAGTAGTTAAGTTTAATAAACAAATACTTGTGTATAACGGTCAAGGAGATGGACTTACTAAATGAAAAGGATGATCTTGAAAATTACTTCTTATTAAGTTTGTCACTTATAATAGTAAAAAAACAGTTAGTTTGATTTATAGTTTTCTTAGTAAAAATAATTACCAAGCATAAAAATGAAAAGGAGAATTAAAAGTGATAATTCGTTACTTACTTAAGCTAAGCTATTTCTATATATTTTATTTATAACCCACTCTCCTCTTACGTAAACTCAAGGAGAGGAGAGGGGCGCCGGGGGCGAGAGCGAGTTTTCCTACTGGCCTGACTGGCATATTTCGACAGGGGGCTTTATTTTTGAAAAAAATCTAGAAGCTGCACTACGAAGTAAGGCAGGAATAGTACTACTGACGACGAGGACCACCTTAATAAAAAATACACGAAAGACACAATAGCAGACGTAAACAATGTAACTATCATTAGCCCTTAAGATGAGTCGAACATCTATCTCAGTATTAACAGTACCGAGCTCTACCGTTGAGCTATAAAGGCGAAGAAGAAGGGTTATACCAATAGAAGGGACAACCCTACTATAACTACTATAACTCGGCCAACATTTCTGGTCGAAGTTAAAAGAACCCTAGTAGGAAACAAGAGATTCGAACTCTTAGAAGCATCTAGCTACTGAGTTTACAGCTCAGCCCTTCTTGCCAATGAAGGAAGTTTCCTTTAAACCGTATCCCCTCCCGGGGATACAAAGGACAATTTCTGTTGATTATTAAGTTAATAATCAACTAGGTTAGAGTACAATCTATATTAATTAACTTAATTAACTGAACATAAATATTTAATATTTAGCTATACTTCAGCCAGGAGTACTTCTCCATATCCTGAACTTCGTTCGGGATCAGGTGGCTGCGCAGAAGTATGTAACGCCGGAGCCTCCTTTTAAGGCGGCCGTATAGCCACTATATAGATGGGGATAATCTAATATCCCCTTTTAATACTGTTTGAATATTTAATTAAGCAACGTATAGTAATAGGAAAGCCATCATTAAGGCAAAAAGTCCAGTAGCTTCAGAAAAAGCAAAACCTAGTATAGCGTAATTAAATAGTTGCCCTCTAAGTGAAGGGTTTCTGGCTACACCTAAGATTAAAGCACCAAAGACTACACCTATTCCAACACCTGCACCTATTAAACCTGTAGTAGCTAAACCTGTACCAATTATTTTTGCAACTTGTATCATTTTTTTTTTTGAATTAAAAACCTAGAGTTTATCTATTTTTAGCTCGATTTATATATATTATAGAAAATTCAAGATAGATTTCCAGTAGCAGCGGATTTCATTCGATTCGATTCGAATTGATTCGAATCGAATCGGTTCGAAAAATATATTAGGTTATACAACCACGAAATTTTTTATTATTAAGAGGAGCTTGCTGAGCCTCTTCTAACTGGCCGGCCTGATAAAAAAAGTATACTTTTTTTATATGGATGAAGTCCAGATGAAATTCTTTCGTACCAAAAGCGGCTGCGAAGTAAGCCTCAACTTATTAAAACATAAATTAGATACCCTTTCGTACCCCCATACAGAGTGCTTCACCAAGAAGTAGCAATAAAAACAATTTTTAAGTCATAGCTTCGCACTAAAATAGTGCGAAGCCTGATCCCGCCTTAGGCGGGATTAGACTTCACACTATAAATAATTTATACCAGGAGTATCCCGAACGAAGTTCGGCATACGGAGAAGTCAGGCAGGCGAAGCCTTATGCCGAACTTCGTTCGGGATCCAGGAAACAAGAGATTCGAACTCTTAATAATAAAGTTATTAACTTTATTATACTGATGTAACCATCATTTTCTACCTATAGAATTTCCTCTTTTATCTTAAAAAGTAACTATTAAGATAAAAGGCCCATTGCCTGTTACAATTACCTACTAATCCTACTTAATAGATAACGTGTATATACTACCGAAGTCTGGGCATATATACAGCATATTTTCTTGTTAAAGGTTAATCAATCCCGTGCAACTTCCACTACACGAACCGTATTTCGACTTAACACCAATTAGAATCGCGCATACGAAGAATCCTATAAAAAAACCCGAATCCTATTATTCGCTGGATTAAAATAAGAGAGCAAACTTATTGCACGTACTCCTTTCAGCATGTGACGAGTGGTTAGTACCAATCCAAGGTTATATTCACCGTGACATAGTGATTCACGATTACTAGCAATTTCTTATTCATGTAGCCGAATTTCAGGCTACAATCCATATCTTTTTTATCCTATTTTTTGAGATTAGCTAAAATTCGCATTTTCGCATCTCTTTGTTTAGGAATATGTGGCACGTCTTTAGCCCACAATATTACATAGCAATCAAATTTATCATACAAATAAACAAAGAAGAAAATATACTCTATTCCTAATTATTACTCATTCATTTTAACTTTTATCTCTAAAATTTTATTCAAACCTTCAGATGTTAAATGATCTTTACCCTTAACAATCTCAGCTACACGTTTGAAATCAACGAAATCTAAACTTTTCTTACCTTGAATTGAGTGATTATCAAAAAAAGGTATTATTATGTTAAGAATATCAGAGAAATTTACGACTTCAAATCTTACAGAATCTTTATAAAAATAAACATTCTTTGTCTTATCTGTCAAACCAAAATAAGTAGCTAAAAATTCAACGAAAGCTTTTTCTCTAATATTTAATCCTATTGCAAATCTTAATTGAACTCTTTGACTTGATAAACTAGTAGAAGAGTTACTTATTTTTATATTAAAGCTACTATCACCACTTGCAAACCCCGCCATTCAATTAGGATCAGGAATACCGTTAAAAGTATAATCAGGTCTATTAATTTGGAATTCTTTTCAATTAGGAAACGCTTCTGTTAAACTTACAGTCAGACCTAAATTTAATGAAGATTTAATACCTACTAAACTCAATAACCCTTCTTGCGATAGATGTTGTTTAAGTTTAATTATATTGAAAGCTTTTTTAAACAAGATAAAATCTATTTGTTTAACAGTTACGAGTGGGTAATTTTCAAAATGATTTACAATAACCTGTAATTCTTTAATAGAATCCACACGATATTGTATAGAATTTTGGCCATGTATATGAATTTTCCCAACACCTAAAGAAGATTGAATACTTTTTAATATATCTAAGTCCTTTTTATGAAGACCAATAGCAAATATAGGTTTAATTCTTCAACCTGTACCATATTTACTATTAGGCTGAATTAAAATAGAGAAAGAAGACTCCGCGTCTGAAAACCCAGATATAAATCAAGGATTTAAATTAGAAACTTCAGGAGTAATTCTTGGCTTGTGGGATGGAATTGAAGTATATCATCTTACTTTATTCATCTGGTTAGAAAGGATTTTGACTTGATAATTTCTTTCGAAGCCCATTAGAGTACACCTTAACACTGAGAACTTATTCCCAATGTAACTACCGTCTACTCGTTGCTCTTTTACAGTAGAGCAATCACTAACTACTACTGACTTAGATCCGCGATAACCCATTTCTTTTTCAATCATCTTTTGGCTTGTTACTATACCTGAGTAATTACTTCAGCCACTCATATATTTTCATATATGGCTTAGTACCAAAAGCTTTAGGGCGTCCCCGGAGTTTGATAGTTTATCCCACACAGATGATTTCCTACATCATCCAGCAGGCCATGATGACTTGTCTTAGTCCCTGTTATCAGATCCAATATACTGGACGAATCAGCCCTATCAAAATAATATATTTACAAATAAAGCTCAGGTTTACGTTAATTCCATGGCTTTTACCACAGTTTCACAACATTAACTGGAAACAGCCGTGCAACACTTGTATGAATAAATATACTAAAACCACGACGTAGTATCAAGAGTATTGATCACCACGACGTAGTCTTAATTATTTTATTCTATTCAAATTGTGGTAAGATTTTTCGTGGATCATCGAATTAAACAACATACTTCACTACTGGTGTCAGAAACGGTCTAGTGATTTCAGTTCCTGCGTTGCCGCATTACTCTTGAGGTGAAATGCTTACACTTTCATTTATAGACTAAGTAATATAACCTAACCTATGGCATTCATCATTGTCTGCAAAGACTACTTGGGTCTCTAATCCTGTTCGTGCCGCAATGCCTTCGTCCTTCAACGTCAGTTTCTACATAAGAGGCTGCCTTCGCCTTTATCCGTCCCCTAGGTATCACAGAATTTTATCTCTCCACTCACGAGTACGGCCTCTTCACATAAAACTCTAGCAAAATAATTACCTTTTAAAGGTGACATTTGCCGTCTAGGTACCCTTTAAACCTATTTAAGATGAATAACACTAGTCTCATACGTATTGCCGCGACTGCTGGCACGTAATTGGTCAAGACATAATATATAGACTGTCATTATCAATCATATATTTAGAACTTTACTCCTTAAAAGGATCTCCTGCACTACCTCTTACCTCTTTCTTAAGGGGGTAGCCGGTCCATTCATCCAAGTTGCCAGTTCAGCCGTTAGGCCATTGACCAAGATTCCTCACTGCTGTACATATATGCCTTGGGATTTTTTCATTCCCAATGTGGTCGATCAACCATTTCAGCTTCGACTCCGAGAATTGTTGGCTAGTTAAGCCATTACCTTAACTACTACCTATCACGCAGATACCTTTCCTCTTAAAGCGGTTGTTACACCCTTTTTTTGATTTTATGAGGGATTTTTCCCCTCTCTTTAAGGTCGGCCGAATATCTTTCACTCACCTGTACACCACTTTTAATTCACCTTCAATATCTCCGCCAGCCTGCCTGATCCGAACGAAATTCGGAATATGGAAAGATAGACAAAAGATATTACACCATTACTAATTATATTTCATGGTGCCTAGATACCTAATATCCGAAAAGCATAAATTAAACGTACGATTAGCATGTGTCAAGCATTTGGACAGCGTTCAATCAGAGCCATCACCAAACTCACCTATATAAATAACATTTTTATAGCTAGCGCCTAAAAATGTTCAATCTTTTATTAGATTTTTATTTTATCAATCCTACTTGATTAAAGCTCAGGATTGTGATGCAATTTACTTTCAATAAATTTTTAAGTTACAGTTTATCTATTTATTAAGATATATGGTATACCGTATAACCCGAATAACCACTATAATAGCTTACGGAGTTACACTGTATTTTAACAATCTAATTTTTGATCCTAAATTACACCTCTTATTGGTTTATACTTTTCATCTAACCCCAATTTTATGTTTTACCTAAACATAGCAAATGTTCTTCAGCCCTAACCTCTATCTATCAATTCACCATTCTATACTAATCCCTTATCTCTATATTAAGGCGCAAGCATACTTCTCGACGAATATTTGTCTTGGCTTCGCGATCCCGAACGAAGTTCGGGATACAGTACTTCGTCAGTATGCCAACACTCCTCCTGCCGCCATGGCTTGCCATACTTCTCTCCGAGCTTGCTATATTTTTTTCAAAAAAAAAGCCGAAGTACCTGCCTTCGGAGAGAAGTCA